CACACACACACACACACACACACACACACACACACACACACACACACACACACACACACACAGACCCTAACACGGGCCACGACAGGTGAGCACACCCAATCCACGAAGTCGATGTGCGCTCCTGCTGGAGATCGTAAACGAAATCCCCATGTACTACTTCCCGACCCCGTGCTACCTTTCGTACCCCCTTGGCCCAATACCCCTTTGTGTATCATACTGACCCCACAGAACCCTCGTCGCTTTTCTTGATTTCAGGCGCCTTGTTTGAGCCCCCATTTTTCGGAAGTTTTACTGATTTTTGGAATTCTGCTTTTTTGCAATTCGGGAAATGTACGGGAAATTTCGCGCGCCTTAGCGAGCGCACTGGGAATCAGGCTCGATAGTTAGGAATTACGGAATAAACGGAGCCCGACGTATCTTTTTCCTTGCATGAATGTTCTGGGTCACGTCGAAGAAAACTCTAGGAATTTTGCGAGAATACAGATAGGCATAGGACTTTCTTTTCCTGCGTCGACTTTCGCACGCGGATATGGTGATTTCAATTTTTGAATTGGTGTAGGATATAGGCAAGCTGTAACTGTTTCCGTGCCTTTTTTCTCTTGATGTCGGCACCACGCATGCGAGCATCCTCCTTATTTCCCGCGCCATCCTTCCCCCGCACTCTCCCCTCTCCCTTCCCCCTCTTCTCCTTCTCCTATCGCAACTGTTTTTTCCCTCTCTGCTTTTTGCGCGCCTGCTTCCCTTTCTTGATCATCTGAATCTTGGACCCATCTCGCGCTGTGGGGGTGTTTTTTTTTTTTCTTGATGACGTCTCGGGATCTTTGCAATTGATTGACATGTGGACTGACGAACGCCCTTCGATCGGCCGCCAGCCTCTCGTATCTCCCGTGTCGACGTGACCTTTTCCTTACGACGAGGAAAGGACACGTGTATGCGAGTGGGACGTACGAGAAGCTGTCGCAAGGATCGGCGATACTACTTTCCTCCTGAGAATCGTTGCTCAGGATTCGTGGACGCTGGATTTGTCATTATCGATACACACTTTCCGCCTTACTCGATATTATTGCCTTTTAACGAGCTGATCGTCATTCCGTGGATGGCAGTAGAACCCCACTGGCCTCGCACTTTGTGCACTGAGTGCCAGCGTTTCGAGCGCTACAAATCCAAGGGTTTCCACTACAATATACGGAACGACGACGAACATAGAGAAAGAGCCACACAACTGAGACCCTCCACGTCGGACTCAGACCTGATCAGTGAGCGACGTCGTGACTTAATACGCAAACGGGACCCGCGAAATGTGCCGAAGCCTTTTTGCTCTAAACGAAGGGCCGTAGCACGGTGGGAAGTCCGACAATACTTTTTGGATGAACTTTGTATTCCT